CATAGGCTCTCCTTTTTTTTTTTTTTTTTTTTGGAACCCAACTGTGCATGCACATACATTGAATGGAGAACAACGCACAAAAATTGTGGTATTGAGAAAGAAGTCTCATTGTTTAATCTGTCTGCACTTTTTTTTTTTTTTCCCCCTGGGATGAATTTTTCAGAAGCGTTGCTTTTTTCGCGCTTTTACTCGTTTGTCTGCTTGCTTTACAACATGGCGGATGATCAGCCACACGTTCTGCGAAACAAGTCCGGCCCGTGTGTGCCTCCGTCTCGAGCGATCATTTGTACAACCGTTGTTTGTGTCTGTTCGTACAACTTTTTGCGACAAAAATTTACAACGAGCATTTTTAGTCAACATTTTCGCCCCCTTTAAGAAAACATGCCACTTCCCAACCTCGCCATACACACACAAGGGAACTGAAACGAGAACCATGCGAACAAATTTGTGAAAAAGAAAAGCAAAAAGAGGACGCAATTGAACGCTTGCTTGCCCCTGCACATCCTGTTTCATCAATTTCGGGGAAAATTTCGATCAGGACTTGCTCCCACTTATGAGAGTCTTTTTTGTCGTTCTGTGAGGCGTGCTCTCTTTTTTTTTTTTTTTTTTTTTTTTTTTCTCCTATTTTTTCCCCTTGGATAGAACCTGCCTTAACACAACGTTTTTGAATTTCCTGCCTCTTCAATGTTAACCATGTATGTGCTTCCCTTAGCGAATTGGTACTTGCATGACCCCACGTCCTTGTGCCTGTATCCGTACGTCTACGCTCTTCTGTGTCACTACATATGCATTTGCTACTTATACGCATATCTGTCTCCTGTGTTTCGCTTTTACATAATATGCAAGCAAGTTCTTGTCATCCTGTGTTTTGCTATTCTCTTTATAATGAAGTTTAACTATGAGGTGATTTACTTCCTCTTTCTGTAAGTTGGGCGGCACCGCAAATAGGTATACCCTGCCCTAAGCTTCATGCGAATGTTCGGATTGAGCTGTGGTGGGGGCTACAACCCATATAACTATGTTTGATGGAAACACAGAGATGGAGCCTCCCTCGGAAGATACTTGCTGCTACTGCTTCGGCAGTACAAATGGAAAGCCGTACCACCACGTTATGTGGAAGTCATATAAAATGTGTGTCCGATGCAAAACCAACCTGAAAAACTGCCTCTCCTGTGAAAGGAAAATAAAAGAAAAGACACGCTCACGAAGTTACACCCCTTGCTGTCGATCCACATACGATAATTTATGTGACATGTGTTGCGAGCTTCCCATCATTTGTTGCGATAAAAAATTGGGGGATGTCATACCTGAAGTTTTGTACCTCCTAGATTTGTACATGGGGATTAGGGTTCCCCCCAATTTTGTAACCTACCAGAATATTTACACCTTTAACAAGACAAGGTTTAACGACGCGAATCACCGCTGTACATTTGAGTATGACCACGTTGGGTATGTACAGAGGGGAGAAGCAGCTCAGCACAGTGAGATTGCAGCACCGGGAGGGGACTCCTTGAATCGGAAAAATGGCAAGGTCGTTGCAGAAGTTGACTTCAAATCAGAGCAAAACGAAAAGAGGGACATAAAGACACTCCTTCGGAAACTAACTCGTTCGAGGCCTCAGCCAAAAAAGAAAAAGAAAAAAAAAAAGGATATGACACGAACAGGTGGAGAAGCACAAAGGGTGCAATTTGCGAGACCCACAAAAAATGACAACTTGGAATATAACAAAATAGAAGAGAGAGATAGGAGTGGAGATCCCCTTATGTGCACTGCTAAAGGGAGGGAGGGAAATGACCCCCACTCCATCGCTTTCCCTAAAAAGCTACCCCCAACTGAGCAGAACAACCAACTCGACGAGACACAACAGCGAAGCAGGGAACAAAAAAATCACAAACTGAAGAAAATGGTTTCCAATAAATCGAGTCTATACAGCAAGGCAACGGCACCCCTCTTGGACTACATCAAATTGCTGAGAAATCGGAAGAAGGAAAGCGGGAAGGACAGGCGAGGCAGAATTTCTTCTTCCCGCAAAGGAGGGGCAACAGTGGAGGAGAAAAAGGAAAATGCAACCGCCGATATGAAGAACACGACGAGGATCTCGACCCGCATTGCAACCCGGATCGCCTCTAAAGCGCTTGCTCAAACGGCTTCTCAAACAGCTGTCCAAACAGTTGCCCAAATGGCTACCGCGACAGCACGGAAGTCGTACGATCTGCATCTCGTGCTTTTCTTTTCCAACCAACCGAACGAAGAAGAAATCTTCACACGGCTGTTACATAACGAGCTCAAATTTACCGATGTGCTATACCTACGGAACATGTTCAAGCAAAATGAGGATGGAGAAAAGACCATGGCATCGTGCAACTGTGTAATCGTGTCGCAAAAAAAATTACTCCTTTTACATGAGCAGAATAAGGTGATACAAAATTATGCATATAGAAATTTAAAGCTACCTGAACTATTGCCTCAAAATAATAATCACATAAAACTGGTTGACCATCTCTCTTTAGCTAATTGCTTGCCAGATATTTCATTTTGCTTTTACATGTCCCACGAGCTGATGCACACGTACCTATGGATCTCGCACTTGGACACATCTGTGCACTTTGAGGAAATACAAAAGATTGTAAAGAAACTACACTCGAGATCTTTTCATGTAGGAAGTAAGAACAATCCTGGGGATAAGATTCACAAAAGTTTAGCTTATTATTTGTCGCCTGAGTTGGAGGAGGCCCTGTGCGTGTTCGCGTCCGTTCAGTTTATGCATCATATGCGGCAGGTCAACGCAGGTGGGTGCGAAAGTGGACATTGTTATAAACTAGAAGGTGAAAATATCCATGAGCGCGAATGCGAGCTGATAAACTACTACATCAGAACATGCGAGCGAGGGGGATCCCTCATGTATGGCAATAATTATCGAGAGCTAAAAAGAATTATGAAGAATTATACGCTGGTGGATATTCTGCACATTATTGGAGACATAAAGTGCGCACGCTTTTACCCGGTGGTAACTCTGCGATTACTGCGCGCTGTGATTTGTTCTATGCGTGTTGTAAGCTAAGTGGGTGCGGTAAAAATGCGCACAAAATGATCGACGCGGAATTTGCAGCGGACTATGCCCTAACGCTTTCTCAATCTCCATAAGGACAATTAAACCTGGTGTCCCAAAAAAAAAAAAAAAAAAAAACGCAAAGACAAAGCGGCATCATCCTCTTCTCTTAGAAAAGCGTTTCACTTAACGTTGTAAGTTATAAAAAAAAGAAAAAACGGGAGACCCGCTAGTTTTTATATGTTTATTCCATATATACGTTTCAAATAAGACAACAAAAAAATGATTAAAAAGGTGACATTAAGAGCATACTCATATGTACATGTAGCATACACGTCAAGCACGTGGGATACACACACACAGGAGGGTAGAGGAGGAGGAGGCAGGGGTAACGTCTCCCTCGTTGGCTAATTGAAGAAGGCACAACTGGGAGGGGAATTAAAAATGTGGAGAGATCAACCCCTTGGGGGGAGTAGAGGCCAAACCGAAACACTTGTCAATCTGGACAACTTGACGCGTTTAAGAAAAAAAAATATATATATATATAAAAAAAAAAAAAAAAAAAAAAACAGATTTAGCTAGCCAGCTAGCCAAAATGTTATTTTTTATTTATTATTATTTTTTTTTTTTAATACTTGGCCATGATATACCTTGCCCGCACAAAGGTGAACTTCTCCCCATTATAAGTGAACTCACAACTTTCATTGGAGAAGGGAGAAAACTTGATGTAGTCATTTACACGTATATCCATTGGAATTTTGTTATTATTCGAGTCGTAAATACCATCGCCAACTGCTACAACAAGTCCGTCCGTTGATTTGTCATTCTTGGACTCAGGCATTATTACTAACGAACTGGACGCTGCGTTTGTGTCTATTAATTTGATAAGCACGCGGTCATAGAAGGGGGTAACGTTGTCTGGTTTCACCTCCTCAGACGCATCATTGATTTTTGCCAGGATTTCTTCGTTGGATATTAGCAGGCACTCCTTGTCGTTGTACTTCAGCTGCGAACGGGGAGGAAGCAGTTCGGATGGTTAGGAAGCACAGTTCCGTTTGCTTCTCTCACGGTGGGGGCCTCCTGCACACACACAAGGGTATACAGATCCTCCGCAATGCCTTACTTTGGATCCATCACTCGGGTTGAAAATCACGACGTCGCCAACCTGGATGTCTATGGGCACTCTTTCGCTGCAGGGTAAAAGGAGGAAAATATATATGTAATAAAATAAGCCTCTCCAAGAGTTCACATTTTTAAGAAGGCATTAATCAGGGGGGGGGGGGAGGAGGGAGCCATGTTTCTCATCCGTAATGTTAACTCCTTTTTGTGGATCTTTTTTCCAATTTTTTTTTTTTGTGTTTTTTTTTTTTTGTTCCACGTTTTCCTTTCCACAAGTGGGTAATCGAAAAAGGAATTTTAAAAAAAAAAAAAAAAAAAAAGACCTTTCTTTTTTGCGCCTTTATAAGTATTCTCTTTTTAAAATTCAGTTTGTTTTTAAAAATTCAGCCTATTTGCGCAGTGTCCATTTTATTTAGTTGCCCACTTGGGTGCAACCCTCCACTTTGAGGTGTACATCCCCCCTTTGTTATGTGCGGTGTACCAACTGTGCCTCCTCATCAGCACACCCTGTACTCTGCACACCACGTGCTAGCTTTTTCTTTTTACCCGTTTTTGGTGTTGACAGCTCCAGTGCCCACGCCTAGAACTTTGCCGATGTACTGGTTCTTTCGCATCTGCGGGGGAGGGAAGTAGAGGGGACGGAAAGCCCATAAACGGTGAAATGGGTAGATACATCATCAGTTACAGAGATGCACAGCACAGCGCTACGCTAGTTGGAAGCCACGCCACACTGCCCAAATTACCGTGTCACCGATGAAGACGCCCGCCTCCGTGGTATCATACGCTTCATCCTTCTGTATTAAAACGAACTCATTCAGAGCAGTCAAGGGACCCCGTATAATCTTATTCTCCAGTTTGTACTCTGAAAAAAAAAAAGGGAGTGAAATTTATAAATGGTAGTGAAATAGGGATAACGAGATGTTCGGCTCGGACAAGGGGGGTTACATGCGCAAGAGATGTCCCATGTGTCCATTGTGTTAACTGCACGCCATGCATAAGACGAGGACACATTTTTAGGAAGGTCCAGAAAAAAAAAAAAAAAAATGACGAACCTGTAGCCATCCTCCTCTGTGAAGAAGTGCGCTGTAGTTGCCTCGGGTTGCTCGTGACGAAATTCTGAAATGGGGGAAACGGCGCAAAAGGGGTAAACATAAAAAGGTAAAGTGGCGACCAAGTGAATGGGAGAAATAGGGCCGGATGGCAACTCCGTTCTCAATTGTGCGGAGGGGAGGGGACTCACCAAATTGCTGCTCATAGTAACCCTCTTCCCCAGAGCCGCCGTCAGGGAGATGGTAACAAGGGATGCCAGCACAGAGAACTTCATCTTGGGAAGGGCCGTGGTGGGTGTTACGCGCACATTAAATATATATAAAAGCTGTGTATGTTGCTTGCGAGGCTTCTACAAAATATGCAGCTTTTTCTATGCCCTGTGTGGGGTCCGTACCCGCTGCACAAATTGGTGTAGAGAAGAAAGGAGCAGCGCGTTTTGCTCCTAACCCGGTGTGGAAAAGAGCAGCGCGCTTCGAAACACGAATTGCCGAATAGGCACTAATGAAACGCTACAAAAAATTTCTCTGTTATATTATAAACGCCCCTCTCACCGCAAGTATTTAAATACATGTGTAGGAAGCTCCGTTTTAGGGTTAGGGGTAGGAACTTACACGCACGCGGCTGCAGAAAACGTGGAGTCAGGGTGTTCACCGAAAAAGCTTTTGCTTTTATACGCGTTTATAGCGTGGTCAATGCTTTCGCAGGATGGGTGTGCTCAAGCGGCGCGTTACAACTGCTTTGTAGCGCAGAACTTTTTTAAAAAAAATTTGAGGGGGGCATGTGCGAATCGCTGGATCAGCAACTCTCACTTGCCACAGCTGTGGTATGGGGCTTGACTGGCCAAAAAAAAAAAAAAAAAAAAAAAAAAAAAAAAAAAAAAACGGCCTTCCTACAATGCCTCACATAGTACGCATGCACAAAATGTAGCACCAGCAGTGCATATTCCTTGTGCGACTTAAGGCATACCGCCCCCAATTGTATATACACGCACACGGGTTTATGTAGCTTTTTGTCAACTCGCCCCTTCCCGGCAAGGGACGTCCTCTTCGAGTTGCCTGCGCTACGAAAGGGGAAAAAAAAAAAAAAAAAA